TATAAAACACACTAGATTTTGATAGCTTTGCTCTGTACCTTTTTTTTTTGTTTTTTTTAAATTGCCCATTCATGAGTACTTTCATGAGAAGAAATCATGTTATTTTTTCAGCACACCTCTGACCTGAATGCAACCAGAAAGAAGTTCTGTCATGAAGTTGAACTTGTTTCTGTTTGTCACTTATTGTGAATGGAGCCATATTCTACCAATCAGAACACACACATGACTACTGATGACACTAAAAGTGAGAGTAAAGTAAAGTCTGTGCTGTGGCAGAGAGAAGGATACTATATTATCTGTCTTCACCTTGTGTATTATACGAGCTGCTGTTTACAGTAGTGTGTATTTTCTTAGCGGCAGCATCACTTTAGTAGAACTGCAAATGTAAATCCATTGTTTCTTACCTAATGTTCAGATAGCAGTTGTTGAGATTTCCAACAGCATAGTAGTCTGCTGCCGTTACGATCTCAATACCATGTGGAAATGTGCCCTATTGAGATAAAAGCAAGTTAAAAAAAAACTGCTGGGAGGTTTTTAGTGCATTAACTCAGAACGGGCTATATTTTGAAACACTGACAAAATTGATTTAGAGATGGGAAATACATGAGTCCAAAAATGATTTGAAGACAGTTATGGCTCAAGGTTTACTGGCAAACCAAGCGTTTGCGTATGCCCTGTAGCTATTCTGGAGGGTGATTTCTTTGCTTCAAAAGCTTTCACTAACAAGGCAAGTTTGAGCAAGACCTAGATATTTGGCAACAAATACGCTTCAAATCACGCTAATTCTGTTAGTCATAATGCTCAAGTAGTCAATACTCAAGTAGTCACAAACCTGTCTGCCGACATTCTCCTGGAAGGCAGCCTAGGACAAAATGAGGCATAAAATGAACTTCTTTCATGTAACTGTATAACTTTAGGCAAGCAAGCAAAAGATGTTGACCTGTCAACTTACAGAGGCAGCTCTGCGACAGTTGACGTTTCGATCAAACACGGCTGTGATCAGCAAAGCACTGCAGGGAGAGACAAAAGGTATGAAAGAGCATAAGTTATCGGATAAAAGACTTGTATGTAGAATTGCCCACTGAATGCAATGGAAAAGGTGTTTTTTTTTAACAATAGAGTCTTCACAGACACAAGATGCCTAAATGCTCAAGTTAGCACCAATATCCACTTTTTTTTTTCTAAACAAATCTTTTTGCAACTTGACAAAAAAAAAAAAGGCACATATTTAAACAAACTGTCTTCCCGGCATTTCTTTTTCATCCGCCCTGTTGTCGAGCAACCACAGTGTTTGAACATTTGAATCGGTTAAATATCAATGACTCAGATTAAAATGGTGTCTAAGTGTGATTGCATCATTACCACAAACCTGATTTTGGTTGCAAAGCACAAGTTCCTGGCACAGAAGGGAAATACACCGGAATTATGATTAACCGTGACTCCTTTGCAATATTGGAGGTTTTGTCTGTTTTGATCTCAACGTCCCTCCACTATACATTGTAACTACAAGTCTCAGAAGCGGTGCAAGTGAGAATTCAGTGGTTTAAAGAGAGCCAGCCTACTTAAAGATCACAGTGACAGTGTGAGACTAACTGCTGCTGGCATTGTTTGCTCTCCTCCCATGAACCCTGCCGCCAAACAACAAGACACGAGCACAGAGATTTAACAACTGCCCCTAGCTTGGACTTACTAACTGCCCTTACCCTGAGGGCTTGGAAACAACAACAGTCCTAATTGCACTCTACACAATGCTGTAAACCATATTCTGAAATATGTCTCTCACTGCTCCAGTCAATAAGTGCCCTGTTTATTTAACTCACTAAGGAGATGTGCAACTCTGTGTGTGTGTGTGTGTGTGTGTATGTGTGTGTGTGTGTGTGCCCCCAAGTGACTTAGTCTCACAGTCACAAAAATTGGATTTCTGTATGTCATCAAGCTGTGATGAATAGAGCAGGAACCAGCTTGTCCTAGTGTTGCTGCCAAACGGCGACCGAAACCTACAGCAGCAGGCGAAACCTGGCAATCCTGTAGGCTAGGGTAAGGGAGGGTGTTGTTGCGACTGCTGATGATAATTTGCAGGGGTTCAAACTGACGCTGCAGAGCTGGTCTGCACAGTCACAGGCCACAGGTCCGTACATGCAAGCCAAGTGAAAAGGGATCAAGGATGAGGCAAACCGTTACTACTGACAAAGACTGAACATACGTCACTGCATGATGTTGCATTTCTCCGCACCGGCTGCAGATTAGATCTGCAAATTTTAGGATGTTTGTACTTATTTTTAAAGCTACATCTGAGACCCTGTGATCTGGGAACAAGGCCCTCTAGGCGCTGACCTAGAACAGGAATAAACCAAATGAAACAGTTGTGCAGTTCTTACAGCTTTTAAAAAAAGAATAAACTGGGTCCAAATAAAACTGTTTATGATGTACAGATAAATCAAAAGCCCCTTTATGTTAATCCAAAGGCAATTACAAATGTCAGTCTTGTGCATAAGCACCCTGGTCCCTTTGATGTGAAAATCTTAACAGCAATCTTAGTTGTGAACCTAGCAACATTTCCATAACAAATGCATACTACACGAGTCTAAACTGAATGCCGTCAGTTTAACACAAAGGCTGCAGCAACACAAAGGCAAAACATGCAGAGAGAGTGACAAAAATGCATACCTTGCAAGGTCAACACCTCCCAAAGTCACTGTAATAAATTTCCAAACCCAATCTTCATCTCAAAGACACGACTAAAACAAAATCACTTTCATAAACCAGACAAAACAGTAAAACAGAGTGTTGAGGACTCTCTTCTCAAAAGTCTAAAACTATTTCCCCCTTTGTGCTACAACTGAGGTAAAACAGATTTAAAACCCGTCATTCAGCACTGTCAACAGGGAGCAAAACACGCTGTCTAGTTACAACAAAACTGATTTAAATCTCTCACTGTTTCTCTGTCAAATATCAGCCGTGCAGCTCTTTCTGTAGATATGCATTCATGACTAAATGAAGGCATACAGAACGATAATGTAAAAAGCAATGTGTCTACATGTAGTAAAGTTTAACTTCAACACAGAGATGAAGCAGCAATGCTACATATGACGTCACCAATTGTATTCTATTGTTTATTTCGTAGCCCATTATGTCAATGTGTTGTTGTTGTTGTTTTTTTTAAGGTAACTAACAATTTCTATTGTTTTGCTATTCTTTCTGTGACTTTAATGGGGGGGTTGAATGATGATATGAAAATAGAGGTAATTGCCCAACCCTCTAACCTACTTCAGTAACTATGCACAAACACAGCACACGAGGATGAGTGCACGATACGTGGGAACATGCAAGACTGATGTCGCACAGAAAAACTGGTTTGAGGCAGTAAAAAACAGCTCAAAGGCAAACTGTGCAGCGTCCATACAAATTTTAAGCATAATGTCATATAAAATGAGCTGCAATCAAAAAATCCTACTGAGTGCATGCTTGTGCTTTATGTGTCCATCTCCTGATTGTAGCTGTTCCTCTTTTATGCAGCCAGGGAACATGCATTCAGCAGCCAGTTTCATCAGGTAGATTTAAAGCCTCCATTTTGAACTATACTGCATTACAAAGAGAGGTGCTACTGTTTCCGTTGTATTAAACTGCATTAATTTCAGATAAGTACACCTAATAAACTACTTGTAGTATTTAGAGTGTATATAAGAAGGACATGTTGTGTTTGCTTTAGCAACTATAAAGACTAGGTTTAACTGAATTAGAAGCAGATAAAAAAAAAAAGGTAGTTGCTCTTTTGTAAGTACTTGCATTTTCCAAATTGAAAAAGGGAAAAAACATCCATTGGTATAGAGGTGAAGTACTATTTCACACATATGATGAGTGGCATTGATCATTTCAGCCAGTTATCAACACAAGATTCACGCTTATGTCACTGAAATAGTAAACTTTATGAATGCACTGGTGTGCTTTTGATGTAGTTTAGCAGTGATTTAAGCACTTGATGGTTTTTTATGGTAAATTAGCAAATTACCTGGCAATCTGAGTGACAAAAGGTTCAAGCTCCTTGGGTTCATAGGCTCTTGCGAAAGACCAGCACACATAGCAGGCAGCGTCGCGCACATTGGAACCGACGCTGCAGGCCCCCCTCTTCTCCTCATAGGTCAGGGACTTGATGATGAGTGGCACAACTGCAAATAGACGACACAATGAGATGAGAGGATTTATTTCAATAAGAAC